CCCCTCGCCGTACTCGCGGCGTGTTATTATTTTTACGTGCCGCCGTACCGGCAACCTTGACTCTGGTATCGATCTGAAAAAGCACAAGTCACCGAACGCCTCGCGAAACTACGAAATTTCCAACGTGTACAGTTAACGCCGGAAACAGCGTAAACAGTAAATCCACCGAACGTCAGAGACGAACAGCCGCCACTACTCACGGAGTCTCTTTATTCGTCCGTGAATTCTACGCTTTCACGGAGCAGCTACTGGTCCTGCTGGAAAGCGAGTTTCGTTGTTACGCGCCGTCGAACCGCGGAACGAGCGTTCAATTAATCACTTCCCGCTTATTCGAACGCAGCCGGCTCGAATATCAACTTTGCAGAAAGAAAAAGCGATTTGACATTCCTATTCGGAGCAAGTAAAAGGAATCGATTCCCTTGAGTTTTTTCGAATTATTAAAGAGGGTTAACACCCTTAATTCTGAATGTTTCTAATTATTATAAAATACATGGTAAAATTGTGAATCGAAGTAAAAAGTTGGTGTCGTTTGATATATCGAAGAGAAATATAGATCGATAACGGCGGCCATCTTTACAGCGTACGGATGTATAACAAGACGTTAATAATTGCTTCGATACGCGACACTGAAAAGCATCGAAGTTAACTATCCAAGATCATACAATCTAACCTACATCTGTCATCGCGAAAACGTATTACGCGATCCTTACTTTCTAAGTGTAACCGTGTCAAACTATATTACGATCGATCACTGTCTAACACGCGATCGACCATTACGTTAATCGACGTCGACAATGGGTTGGCTATTTCGATGAATCCCCGCGACGCGATGCGATATTTTCACGCGAAATTGCGATGGAAAGTGCACCTCGCACACATAGACGTGCGAGCAATACTGCACATCGACACTAAACACGGATAGCGAAAAAACGGTTGCACGAGAAGAGGCAGAGTCCACAAATCGTGTAATTAACGTGCACACGTTTCAGCGAAATCCGCGACGTGTCGCGTTTGCGCGCGTACAGAGCGTAAATCACGCGGACACGAACCATACCCGCGTTTATTTGGCGCGTAAAAACGCCTAGTCAGTCGTATCGCATTACCTTGTCAACGAAATCGTCCGGTGTCCCGCCAACCAGCCGGAACAACAAGTTTCTCACATTTTCAGCCCTCGGCGCGCTCTCGTTCTCCCGCTGGGGCACAGAGCACAATCTCCGAACGAGCGTGGTTGCACGCGGCTATGATCACGGCACTGACTAGAAAAAACCAATACAAACAGGAGCAGCAGGCCTTATATATCTCCTCCGGTTGAACGGCGTGCAACCGGCTTCCGCACTTCTTCCTCTTCCTCTTCTATATTTTTTTTCTCTCGTCTCACACTGTGATCGCGTGCGAACGCGCCCCGTTATGGCGCCGCTGTCGGCGATCAGCGACGCAACGTTCACCGCGACGCGGCACGCGCCAACCAATGCCCATATTTCTTCCTCTCGTTAAAACCACCACTCGATCGTCACACGGTAAACGGCAACAACAACACCGGCGGAGTTTGATCGGTACAGTCGCGCTCGTAATCGACCACACGCGAGACCGAGATCGTCCGCTCAAAGAGATCCGGTGTACCACACGATCACCACCACGACAACGACGACCACCGCACGTATCAAACACGACTGCTACAAAGATCCACAAACGCGTGACGATCGCGCGAAGACGAGGACTAGCACAACGGCGCGACGACGATGACTAGGACGACGCGACTACAACGACGACGGCGGCGGCCGGCTCTCGCGAGGACCTCTTCCGCCGCACGATTCATGACCACCGACGGAGAGCACGTCGCTCTCGTGGCGACGACTGCGCCACTGCGCGGTATCTCGTCGAAACGATCCGACGGGCACGCGAGAGGGGTAAAGACGGAAGGTCGGAGAAAGAGAGAAGAAGGGGGATGCCGGAAAGGGAGAGAGATAGGTAGATCGGTGCGCGTGCACGTAGTAATAGTAGGCTACGGGTAGAAAGAGAAATATATAGATCGTGTATCGCTGTATGTGTGTGTTATATCTGTACGTATATATGATGTGCGCAGTCTAGGAAATGGCTAGGATTCAACGGAAGAGCGCGAACGCGTACCACGAAGACTTAGCCGAAATTGACGGTCGTTTGCTGCGTTTGGATCATCGCATCGCGTCGTGACAAACGTGTCGTATATACCACCGACGGATGGATGGACACACACGTTGGGTTGAATTTTCGACGGCCGCGTTTTAGTTGTTTGTCGCGTTGTGCAGCGGCGCTCACGACGTTGGGACGCCCACCACCTGTAGTGCTCACCCTCTTTTCCTCGCGGCCAACCGTCCTTCCGCGC